GCAGTATAACCCAGGACATTAGATGCGTCAAGTTCCCAAGGGCTTCAAGGAACTCAGGGCAATGCTCACACCCAAGGAAGGTCGAGAGAAATAGGAATTCCGGTGGCCTTGGCTTTCAGCCGGCCAAGAGCCAAAGTAGAACAAAAGAATAAGCGAACAACAGAGTGAAAATCTTTAGCTTTTTAGTGGAAATTTTTTGATTCCAATCCGTCCAAAAGGGAATGGGGGAGGCATTTATATAGCAGTCAAAATCGAGCAAACATATAAGGAAACAAAATAAGTTAAGCAACAAACAAGGAAAAGAAACATGCAAATCGATTTGAAATCAATTTAAGAGAGAAAATCTGTAAACACTAATTTTTTTAGGGAAAGTGTAAATCAGCAGAATCCAAACAAAATCGAACTCACACAGTATGGTATTGAACGTATATAGACGAAATAGTGCTCAAAATCAAAGATTCGAACCACTTTTGGTTTGATTTCAGAAGATATTGCTTGCCATGTTTAGGCAAGCACCTAGGTAATAACACAAACGGACAACAAGTACCAAAATGATTCGAATATGGCAAGAGAATGGTAGTCGAATCCCATTATCAGTGGGATTAGGAGAGGGGATTAAGGGGAGGCGGCTAGGGTTCTCTAGAAGAGAGAATATGAGAGTTGAGCATTTAGGGCGGCGGATTAAGGGGAAATGGGTAGGGTTCTGGGTTAGGTTAATTTAAGAGGGGGGAGTGGACGATGGCCGTTGATCTTGAGAGATCAACGGCTGAGATAAAAAAATTGGACGGGCGGGTCGTTTAGAAGCGGGCCGCGATCGGGTATTAGACATGGGTCGTTTGGCTTTGGGTTGGGATAATTGGGCTAGATATTTGAGTGTTTGGGCCATTCATTTGGTCCGAAATTGGTTTAAAAATTGGGCTGTTGTTTAAATACCCAAAAATTATCAAACATAATTTATAAAAATAATTAATAAATAACAAAAAATATTATTTGTGCACTAAAATGATTGAAAATAATAACTTAATATTATAAAAATATAAAAAGCTATTTTGGCACAAATAATATAATTACATGAATATAGGCTATTATTACAAAAATATGCAATTAGCCTAAAAATGCAAATGCAATTATTGAAAAAATGAAGTAAAATATTATAAAACATATATGTTGGTGTAAATAATAAGTTTGGATGATTAAGTCATCACAAAATAATTTAAAGGATAATTAGTTGATATTTATATAATATAAATGTAGAACGAAATTGATTTAGAGCTTTAAAAATTATGAAAAGTTATAGAAAATACTTGTATAGGTTTATAAAATAAATGATGATGCAAATGTGCCATTTTGAAAGTATATATGCATTTTTAGAAAATATGAGGGGAAAATTGGGTATCAACAATCATCACCGGTACTTCAAGTCTCGCCATTCATTTCGGCAAGCCTAAATCTCGACAAGCCTTGAAGCAGGGGGCATTTGTAGATAAACAAAATTTTATTAAATTTAAATCCACAAGTAATTTGGATTTCATCATGTATTAAATACATATTAGTCCAAACGATACTATGGGCTAGTATAATCGGGTCGATTATTTAAATCTAAAATGAATTGATTTAAATAAAAGTCCAATGTATTATTGGGCTAGCCCGTCAATTGGTCTTCTATCAAATAGGTCGGCCCATAAGTCTCAAGCCCAATGATCCACTTGGATTTTCTTGGAGACTACTCCACCCCACACCTATATAAGGGGTCAAAGGAGAAAGCTAAGACACAAGCAAGTAAGCAGAAGGAAAGGCTAAAGTGAAGAATAGCATCAAGGTCTCCATCCATATCTGCAATCATCATCTATGGTCAAATTCCAAAGGCGAACTCAAATCATAAGCGGGCGGCTTCAAATCTTCCGTTCGTGATAACCCAATAACAAATCCTGGTTCGTGACGAGCTTCAAGTTGTTCGTGACGCACCGCAAATTTGAAATCCGTCAAGTTCAAGATCAAACTCTCAAGCTCTTGAACCATCATTCGTGAGGAGAAGAATCAGAGGACCACGTCTTTTTAGATTCGACATATTCTAGAGATTATAACCCCATCACTTGAAATTGAATATAATATTTGTCGCTATATTTCTTGTCTTGATTATTATTTTTCAGGAACGAAATTTAGTTGTTACAAAGGTATTTCTAATCCATAATTAGAAATTTGTTAACCTTTTTTTTACTACACATAACTGCTTATATTGCTGCTCATAAATACATTTTGCTGAAAAAAAGTATTTTGAACTTGCAAAATCTTTGACAAAACAGACTTTTTAATTCTCATATTATAATCCACTATACTTTTTAGGGAAAAGGGTCAAATATGCCCATCTACTTTGGTATATTGTTCACATCTATCCTCCATTATACTATCGGGACATATCTACCCTTATCGTTAGCCAAACTTTTTAAAAATACCCTTCACCTAACGGAAAGCCACCAAATTAAAAAAAGTATTTTTTTTTAAAACCCATTAATAACCCGTTAAACCCCTTTCATTTACTATACTTCTTCCTCACATATTAGTCATCTGTTTCGTAGTTACCTGTTGAACTCAAGAATTGAAAGACATAAAAATACCGACAACTATATATTCATTTATATATTGAGTCCCGATTCTTTTAATATCCTTATTGTATATTTATTATATTCTAACTTTTCCAAAAAAAAATTTCTTCTAGCTTGTCTCTTTGTTTTTTTCACCGTGTCAAACTGTATCGAGTATTCATCATGATTTTCTTTCCATTATGATTTGAATGTTTATAGCATCTTATTAGGTTAATACTTCTGAAGTCTTAAGGCAACTACCGAAGTATTTCTTCCTCCGGCAGTGAGCCTTTGTTGATGAGTATTCACGTACCATAATTTTCTTATTATGCTTTAAGCATTTGGGCAACAAATAATTATCGCCAAATCACGCCTTAAGAACCAACGTTAGATTCCAACCTAGAAAATAATTAGAGGAGATTCAATTTAATATCAAACTACCGTCTAATAAATTCATCAAGAATGAAAGAAAGTACGCCAATAAGTTGGAAAGCAACTTAACAACCTAAGTACACTAACTTCATGTATTAACCAAATACAAGTATTACTAAAGTATATATCAGTTGTTACCAACATACAAACCAACTGTCAAGTGTGCATTACATTAGACAAAGGGATGCCATGTTATATTCACACAAAAAAAATAATCGAAAGTGATAACATGACATCCTAATGCCACCACGAACAACTAGTAACCAAAAATATAAGTTCTTACTAATTCTACTTCCACCATCATTCTCGTCTCTCTCTAAATAAATAAAATGTATTAAGAAGTCTCACAAATTTAGGTTTTAAATTTTTAAATGATGGGTTTAACAGATTATGGGTTAATGATTTTTTTTAAATTATTATTTTATTAATTTGGTGGCTTTTCGTTAGGTGAAGGGTATTTTTAAAAGGTTTGGCTAACGGTAAACATAGATATGTTCCGATAGTATAACGGAGGATAGACGTGGACAATATATTAAAGTAAGATATGTATATTTGGCTCTTTTATTAATATATTAATATAACTTGTTTGCAAATGAAAGACCCATTCCGGTCCAAGCTCCTAAAAACCCTAGTAGTAGAAGAGCAAACTTAAATTATTGGAGATTGAATTGATAATGGGTACCCAATTTCGTGAATTTGCCTCTGATACTATGGAGGGGTTACAAAAGGCTTATCGTAGCGCGATGTCTCAGGATCCAAATAGCAGCTTAAGTTCCATTTCTGCTGCTCTTCAAAAGCCTACCGTAAAATCTTCAGGCTCTGTTTCTGTTTCGTCCGCTGATCAATCACAACTCTTGCTTACTCGGTCTCCCATGTATTAATTTTCTCAGTTTGCTCTTTTATATACATATATGTTTTTTTATAACTGTAGTGTCTGAGCCCGCTTGCGCAGTTCGTTCTTTTATAACTGTGTTATCCGAACGAGCTTGCTCAGTTTGTTCTTGATATTGGCTTATTTTGTTTTATTTTATTTGTTACAATTTGACCTTGTTTCGCGTGATGTTAATCTCGTATCTTTGATGAGGATTTAACACCTTATTGCAAGGAATGTAACAAATGGAAATGGGTGCTGCTCTTATGGTAAAGCTGTATATCTTTGATTGCAGGCAAGCAGTATCACTATGGACTTGTTCAAAGCTCTGTGCCATTTGCTTTGTTGCTGGAGTAGTTGTAGGTTATACACTGAAGCGTCGTGTACGCCGATGGGCTTCCAAACTTCTCAAGGGATTGAAAGACTAACAAGTTTTGGATATTTACAGTTTCTTATTGTAATTGCATTTTCCATGTAGGTAACCCATTGTACTGTTATTTCCCATGATATAGAGAAGTCTTTCATGATTCTTTGCTGCATAAGTGCTGAAATGTATTTATATTCACTGTTTCCCTGTGTTTGATGCAAAAATATATATCAACTTTCTTCGGTATTCTTTATTGACAGCTCTCATCCACTCTGTAATTTCTGATATGTCAATGGACCTTATTGACAAAATAAGAAAATGTAACAAAATTTAGAAACAAATACACGAGACAATTTATTTATCTTGGAGTAAGAAAATAATCCTTTCTATCGCTGGTTAGGACACTTGATAGATGTAACTGCCTTGTAGTAGCTTGATTTTTCATGTACTCACCCCTCATAAAGCAGCATCACACCTTTTTTTTTCCGGTTCCATATTTACTTCCTTCTCTTGCGCTCTTTTCATTAATTATCCTTTTCATCCTCACACTTGCTGCTTAGTGATATTCACACATGCACTGAGGATGTCATATACCCTTCTTCACACACTGCACATAGGTGCATAGTAGTGGGACAATATTGTTCCTATGTATTTGACACTGTAACGACAAACATGATTGCTTTCTCGTATCAGTAGGAACATCTTTATGTGGAGATCCCAAAAGCACAAATATTTACATTTTCCAATAGATAGAACTCTACTCTTTTGATTTCTTTCTCTATTGTAACTTGTATGATATATATGCATTTACATTTCTCTGAATCAATGTGTATTGGTACATGCATTCCTCTTAATCTATGGACAATTACAAAAAATAAAAAGAAAAAAAGTATACCGTGTCGCTTGTTTGCGAAATTTGCTATTTCAAAAGTACTCCTTGTGGAAGTCAAATCTTGTGGATGTCTTGTAAGTCAATTCTTGTGATAGCTTCTTCAATTCCTTTGCCAAGGCAGGCAACCCGCAATAGAAGACTCCTGTGAATCATGTGTAACTGTGTTATTAACAAATCTAGCTTGATTGATTAAAACTCTTCCTTTCTTTTTAGCTCTTTTTCCCTTCCCCTCTAAAATACAAAAATGTTATCACGGAAACGCACCGTTGGTTACTTCTTTCTTCTAAATGGTCACGAAGAAACTAACATAGTTTCTCTAATCAGCTTGATCCAACTGTATGAGTTTTTTTTTAAAGTTTAAAGAACACATTTTTCATCTCATCTGTTACTACCTTTTTAGATTCCTTCAAAAGATAAAGTTAGGATTTATAGTGACATACTGGTCCTTATTGTGAGCTATATTTTCTGTCTCTAAAGTTCCGCTTCAAGTTTCATGTTCTATTTTATATATAAAGTTTCTTTCTTCGCCTCTATTATGTGATAATTTCCATGGGCAGGAGGTTTGGACATATTGGTGAAGTGTCCTTTAGCTCTAGAGGTGAACAAATAGGTTCAGGTAACACAACACTTCTTGGAACCACATATGCTTACAGTTTATCAAAGTTTAGGTTGTAGAAATTCTTTACCTACTGTGGAGTATGGATGTTTTGAAGCTATTTTGCTGAATACTTCTTTCCATTTGGGCCTTGCAAAATGAGTCCTTACCTGCAGTAGAATTAGTTTAATTAGTACTAGCTGGAGAACGATTCACCTCAAGTTTGTTTCTCTATTCCGTGTTGTGGTTGAAGACTTCTCATGAAATTTAGCAGCTTTCGAGTAATAGAATTTCTCTATCTAGTACATGGCACTCATTGAGCTAAGCTGAAAACTGTTCTTTCTTATATGTTTCTTTTCCATTTCTCTTTTATAGGGTTTGGTTGAGAGTGGTGATGGATCATACCCGAGTGCCAGACAGGATGTCAACACCATGTTTTGCATGGTTGAGCGCCTGGACCATAGTGATGAGAGTTGACCTGGCATCGCCCTCTTCATACACACTCGTCAGATAATTGTGCATCTCTATCAGACCCTGTTTCATTGAAATCATCAGAAAAGATATAGCTGAGCNCCCTTAACATTCTACTTGGTTAGTTCTAAATTAACTTGGAAGTAAAATTTGTACCAGTTGTTCTTCTGATCTTGAATTGTTCAATAGATCCTTTAGGATACTTATAAAAGGGGTAGCGCCAATACCAAGTCCCACAAGGAGTAAGACATCATAATTTTGATAGTCCTGTGCTGCGGCGCCATATGGTCCATCAACAAGCAATCGAGGTAAACTGCGTCATTACAAGCCCTTTAGACTTCTTAATAAGGAAATCTCGATTATAATGTTTGACAGGTCAAAAATCAAATAGAGGAGTTTTACCCTCTTTGATCAACATTCCCACGTTCTTTAAACTTAGCCCGCCCGATTTCACATGCTGAACTATCATCCTCTGTGAGAACCCGCTTAAGTTCGTTCGTCCAATCTCCTACAATGCGGATGTGAACACTGAGGTAGTCATCTCCTGGTGCTGATGTTATAGAAAATGGATGCCTGGAGAAACATCATTATGTTAAATGCCTGTTGGTGGAGGCATGATTAACTTAAATGCAGAAACACCACACTTACCATTCAAATGAGGAGATTGTTGGGCACTGCAGGAATATGTATTGCCCACTCTTGTATTTGAAACCATTTGGCTTTGACATGGTAAGGCTAAAGACATCTCCTGGAAGTACAGAAACCTGTAAAGACCAAAAGAAAAACAATTTTCATTGCTTACTCAAAAAAAAAAAAAGGAAAACCATCTTCATTGATCTCCTGTCTTGTTTTTTTTTTCCTTCACCCACGTCTTCTTATCTCAGTCGTTTTTTCCCCCCTTTACTACTGTCTTGGGGGGTGCATGTCATTAGGAACCAGATGCTTGTATTATCTCTAGGAATACAGAACTGCAAATTAAATACAAAAAGCCTACCGTAACTCAATGATTTTATATATGTTGAGTATCTCTCTTGACTTTGAGTTTGCTTAATTGTAAATTTACTCAGTGATCTTAGTTCCTCAATAGACGATTGTGAAAAATGTTGTGGTGCTGGTGGTTGGAATGTGTGAGTTTTGGATTGATTTCTGATGGTGCTTGATGGTCATGTTTATGATGTACACACTGGACAGTATGGCATGGGATAAGAGAAACTCTGTTGCTTTATGAAGTAGCTGATTGAATATATGGTTTTGCTGTGGTGTTTGGATCGTTTCATCTGCTCTATATTTGTGAACCTTAGAGCATGTTTCCTTTTTATTTTTTTAACTTTTTAAAGAGGTATTAAGCTGTGTTGACACCGTTGGAGAGAGGTGAATTGGTGAGGGGTTGTAGACAGGGAGGCGAATAGCAGGTTTTAGTTGAAGCTTATTTGTATGCAGAAAGGAGTCTTCTTGCGTAATTTCTGTATAGATGGAAAAACAACTTTGATAAAGCCAGTCACCTTCAAAATCTTTGCTGTGTAGTGTTCTGATCTGCATGTTCTCAAACTCCTCTCGGCTATATAGAGGAGCAACGGCATGGAGATGTACATCCATGTCTGCAAAATGGGAAACATATTGTCAGCATATCAATCTTTAGATTTTATAAAGCAACTTGGTGTTCTATGTCCTTACTGTTTTCTGCCACCATTGGTGAACCAAGAACAGGAACGTTCCATGTACTATTAGGAGTACATAGACCACTGCTAGAAGGTGATGAGAATACCAAAATGCGTTGAACCCTGTTAATCGATTGAAAGGAGGTGGCAGCTTCAATACATTTCTCCTGAAGCCTCGTGTTGCTAGTGTGAAGACAATCGCCATCAAAATCACCATAGCAATGCCAGTAATACCTTCAATACCGGTCAAGAGGCTTTTGAAAGTGGGCTTCACGTTGTCAAAATCAGAAGCTATTAGTGCAAATTTCTCAGGAGATGAGTTAATCAGACGAGGAAAATCACACGCTAAATGGTTTCCCGCGTGAAGCAAGATTCCAATTGCAATGGCATATGCAATAATCTGCCAATTGAAACAACACTGTTAAGATCGAGAAATTGTCAGGTGCACAGTATGTTCTCTTGTTGTTGTAGTTTACCTTGTGAAAATTGATATTATCATCAAAAGGAACAAGGAGCTTGGCCCTAGTAGACCGTAGCCATGTTAAAATGTTTCGACAAACTGGTAGAAGGACAAGTGCCATGTTGAGTTTGAGAGTCTCTGCAGCCCCTTTAGCAGTTGTCAAGCAGTAACCCATAACTTGAAATGCAGCTCTTCGCCTATACTGCAAGAATTTCCAGGTGAAAAGTCCAGCCATAATCATCACCCATAGCAACAGAATCCAGCCCCTTTGCCAGTTATCTAATACAAGGCATTTGAGTCCATAACTTGCTCTCTTTACTAAGTTCCTGGTCTTGCTACGAGTTCCTAAATTCTGACTCCATCCGACGCTTGTTGTGCTTAACGGTCTGCTGTAATTCATGTAATTGTCCCTTTGCAAAAGAAGTGTTTCCAATTGCCATAACTGAAAGGAAAGGGAATACTCTTAGAACTTGCAGTTTTAAACATGTCATGATACTTTAATGGCTATAAAAATATCACTAAGGATAGAATGAGAAGTTTTAAAGTTAAAATTTTTTAAATATAGAAATGTTTTTTTAAAAAAATAATAGAATATAGGAAGATTTTTGGCACACTTTCTTTTAAATTTTGACAATGATTTTTAACGAGAGTGTTAAGTGATCTCTTTCACTCAATAATCGTATAGATTTATATAATTCATGTACCTATTATAACATTGTAGTCAGATAACCTTAAGCTTACACAAAACAGAATTAGTGGAAACCAGCTGCACTAACTTTCAATGATTGTTAAGCATTGAAAGTTAGAGCTCTGATTCCTTTGGTTAAAAAGTTAGAAACCAGGATTTCTAAATCCAATCTTTTTCTTTTCTCAAAGAAGTTCTAGTGGTCCCCAAAGTCCAAACACAGTAAGGATTCCCTATGTTTTGACTTATACTTGGCCGTCTAAAAGAAGGTCGTGCCAAAGACTAACCCCTAAAAAAAAGGAAAAAAGTGGAAGATCATGGGTCCGAGTATGTACTAGTCATGATTGGGACAACACAGCTAATAGATACTTAGGATAGATAAAATATATATTTTTTAATTATTTGGTATTCAAAGTTTAATGACTAGATTAATTTAAATTCATATCCCGTATGGTTTAAGTAGAGGAAAGACTCCTTTTAAGAATTTTTTATTTTCGAACCTTGAATTCGAGACCTCTAATTAAAGATTTAAAGATTTAAAGTAGAAGGCTCACATCTATTTTACAACATCTCTTGAATCGATCAAATGTTCGGCTGGTATTGTTTGTAAATAATCTGAGGAACAAGATATTGTTACCTCAATGTAACCAAGATCATCAGGGTCCAATTCCTCCATAATTAAAGAAGCATACTCGGCTGCACGTTCCTTCAATTTCGACAACTTATTTGCGGAAGCACTCAGCATTATTAGCTGTTGGAAGAACAAAATATAAAATAGGATAAGAAATCCTTGTAGGAAACAGTATTAATACCATTAAATATAACTCCTCCATTAATGTATGATATAACTAAAACTAAACTAATGCATTTCCGAATTATTGAAGATGCCCCTATTCCCAATGGATGCTGGACAAATAAAATATAGTTTGACCTAAATTTAAACCTTTTTAAATTTTGATTCAACAGTTAACCCATGATAATCTTACCTCTTGGACTTCATCTCTCGTGATTTTTCCATCTCCGTTTCTGTCCGCCCTACAAAAATTACACGTAATATCATCATCAAGTAAAAAATTTTAAAAAGTATAAATGAAATAATAACAATAGTTACTCCATAATTTTAGTTACCTTTCTTCCACAAGCGTTGAGGGTTCTTTTTCTTTATGCTATACATTAGTTTTGTAGTTCGTTTCTTTTTTCGTTTTCCAACATTCAATCTTCAGAAAATGCATACACGTATCAAGTATGGTACTGCACTACTACTATACGTTTTAGTATGGATATTTGTGTTGGTTTTTCTCTTTGTTTTTTTTTCTTGAATGAAGTGGGTCATTGAATTATGAATATAGTATGGATAACTGTAAATTATAGTATTGTGTAATCTCTTTTTTGTTATAATCAGGCTAACTTATCAGATGCACGGTCAAATATTAAACCATAGATAAAATTTACTTTAGGTAATACGAGAAGTGGACCAATCAAGGGGTGTGGTGTAGTGGTAAGTACTCCTTCATCCTTAATCAGGAGTCCCTGGGTATGGAGTCATCTTTGTTAGGAAACGCTTTTTCCCCGTGAATCCGGATTTAGTAGGGTCCCAATATGGGTACCGGACACCGGGTGAGAAACAAAAAAAAATGAAGAAGTGGACCAATCATAACCAATATGTTATACGACTGATAGTTTAAACATACCGATAGACAATTTAGATTCTTATTTAATATAGGAGACAAAGGGTTACTTTTTCGTGTTAAGTTAAGATAATAATGCATATACGACTGATAGTTTAAACATACCGATAGACAAATTAGATTCTTATTTAATATAGGAGAAAAAGGGTTACTTTTTCGTGTTAAGTTAAGATAATAATGCATGCTTTCGAACAAAGTGGAAAGAAATAATTCAAATAAAACAAAACAAAAAAAGTAAAAAGGAAACGAAAAGGAAAGAGAACCCACATGTCAAAGAAAATTTGGAGACGAGCGTCAAAACTTTGATCAGAAATTTGCAACCAAAATTCGTGAAGCTCAGCTTTAGTTATCTTCGCCGTCTTTTGACGCCGCCGCCGTACCAGTGCATCAAAAACTCCCACTGCAAACTCTTTCGAATCCGTCATTCCTGCACATGCATCCCCACACAATATAATTATTCACTATAACACTAATTATATCTACAGTATATAAAAATATTTCATTTCAGTAAAACTAATTTCATGCATTATTTACATAATTTCAGCAAATAAAAAGATAGCATTTCATATGGTTTACATGAATTGAGAACTTTGAATGTACCAATGCAATCACCAAAATCTTCTCTAGCGAGCAAACCGTCTTTTGCCAAAGCATCAAACCGCGCCTCTACTTTTTTCCATTGCACATTCGTATCAGATTCACCTGTTGTTTTACTTATGAATCTTAATCCTCCAAGCGCGCGCTGAGCCGTTGATTTACTCCTTACAAGCTTCAATTTCGACTTCATCTCTTCTCGTGCAGTGTTTGTTGTATTGTTATGATTACTGTTGTGATTATGAAACTGAAAATGATCATCTTCTGATGGCGCCGCCGACGTCCGTGACCTCACTGACGGCGATCGGATCCACGAGAATTTCCGGCGAAGTTTCGACGCCGCCGACGCACTACGTGCTAAAAACCCGTTGGGAGCTTCTTCTTCACTTCCATTACCTTCTGCATTGTGTGTTGGTGTTGGTGCTACGCTACACAAAACAATTGAATTATCATCCAATTCTAGCGTAACTTCCACTAAATCCTGCAGGTCGCTGTTTTGCCGCAAATCGTTGAGGAAAATCGGTAACATTGCTCCTCCGACATACTCCGGCCCGGTGTCCAATATCTCCGTCGCCGGCGTATCTTCCGGTAAGTCGAAGTTCCTACTGTATGTTGATCGCTTTGAGCTGCAGCTCCCAAATGATGATGATCTTAAGAATTGTTTGAGCTGCATTGTTTTCTGAATACAATAGTAAAACCAAAATAAATTATCAGCTCATAATAGAGCTTGAAATTTTTACTAAATAGAGAAAAAAGGCTGAGATCACACGCTTCGTTCCGAAATGTTCTTAAAACAAACACCTCTCAACTGATCTCTGAACACGAATTCAACGTTTTTTTGGTTAAGCATTGCCAGTCTCTCTCTCTCAATTTCACATTGGTGCCATGTCGAAAGCGAGATAGAGAGAGAGAAAGAGGAAAAAAGTAGTTGGGGTTTGTTCAAGAAAACTCTATAAAGAATAGCCTACGACTAATAATATACTAATCACATAACTACATTGTACTATTCTCTATTACTATAAGGGTTGTTTGGTAAGGAAATAAGTTACCTCCACATTATAACAATAAGATTATAATAGGGAAATTAAATAATGAGAAGATTATTTAATAAATATATTTTATTGAAAGATATTAATTTGGTTCATTAAACTAAAAATGGGATATATGAGATATAATATAAACATATATTTGATGTATACAAGATAAGTTGGGATAAACTTTTATTTTTAATTTTAATTTTGAATTGTTTAAAACATTTTGGGGGAAGAGCTAGGAGAAGGGCATCTTTGTCATTTTAATTTATGTATTATATATGTATAATTATGTATAATCAACTTATAATTTATGTATATGGTTAAAAAAGTAAATAATGAATATTACCGGCTATTTGTGTAAGGATCCCATTAATTATTCTTGAGATTATTATCCCACCCTCAATGTGGAATAAAATAATACCTACTTGTGCGATTAATTAATCTTGGGATTGCTAATTCCGGATTCAAAAATTCAACTAAACGCGGGATAAGATAATCCGGCATCTAATTCTAGATTATTATCTTCTTGTCCTACGTACCAAACGACCCCTAGGGGTACTGTTTTTATGAAAAGTTACTGGTAAACTATCGTTGTACATTCCTAACATAATACCCACTACGTATCTACCATTTTCCTTTTCTTGATTTTTACTAGTAACTCGTAATACTTGGTTAATCAATTCGTAAGCATTCAATATTGCTATTTTAAGATGGTACACAGATGAAATGTAAATTACGTGGAAGGCTCCTTAATTAGGACACGACATGCGAATTAAACTAAGTAGGTAAAATGTAACTTTGAAGAGTGTTACCTCATGTGACACACCCATATTACGTCCATAGAATTACACGCGTGTTAGAAAAACAATTCTATAGTAAAAGAAACTGCATCTCTTTTCTTTCTCCTTTCAAAATTCAAATCCTAGGAGTTGATCTTTTCACTAAAATTGTCAGAAATTATTGATGCATATATTTTTTTAGAGTTTAAATTTCATAAAGTGATAGAGTAAGAGAATTAATTATACTATCAGTATAAAGTCACTTAAATTTATAACTATAATTAATATACTAAGTACTATTAATAACCTGAAAAATTATGTGGGTAAAAATTATGTAGGTAATCTGCTAGAAAAGATTATACTATTAGTATAATTTAACATGCGATATTAGGTTTGTTACCAATTTTGTCGGAATACCAATCGCCGTTAGTACACATGCAGTAAACTCTAAGCTAAATCTATTATGTTATCGTGGATGACATCACGGGCAGCATGATGCATAAAGTATTTCGTGTTCATGCAGGATCCGAAAAAGGGCCGCACAAAGCATTTCGTGTAATGTTGACAGCTCTTGGGGTGCTACTCTTCCCCGAATCTCACGTGAACGTGAAATACTTTGTGCAATGTGCTGCTTGTGATGTCGTTCACGATAACAGAATAGTGACGACATCACGGCATAATTAATGAAATAGGGAAAAAGAGAATTCAAAAGGCCTATAAGTATCAAAATAAAGATAAAGACGGATGCGCCAACTTGATATTTTGGTATTATTACCACAAAGAAGAGTTTTCGAATTTTCCAGAGAAGATGGGATCAGAACTTCCTAAATTTAAAACTTGGTGAAGCCTAAGATAATTTGATGAAAACTTCAGCTAAAACTACGGCATCTGTTGCGCCACATGGGATTGGGGGGGATTGGAAGAACTTAATTTCTATGTTATAATCAAGTAAATTTAGCTGATAATTGAGCTGGATTAAGAAACTCTAATTATTATAAGTTAATGACAGTACTTAAGAGAGGGTCTTCTATCTATTAAATTTTGTTGGGAACAATAATGTTTAACTGAATAGTATTTGACATTTTTCTGGTAGAGGGAGAGACAAGGAACAGCCTAACGACAAGCCTGAGAATTTTTAAGTTGAAGTCAAATTAGTGAAAATAAATTAGAGGTGGCTATCTCACTTACCAGGATTAGCCGATTTTCTACCGTATAAAAATAAACTTTTAACTTAACTAAACAGTGTAATTTTTTGACGAATGAGTGTGACCTCACTTAGCATAAGGTGGCTCCGCCATGATTATACTACAGTAATAAAATGAGCTGAGTAAAAAAAATAAATATAAAATAACAGGTTATTGCAGTGACTGCTAGAATACGAACTTTAGGGCTAAAAGCAGCAATAGTTATTCTCTTAATATTGAGGCAATTAAGATGCATATGTAACAGTAAAAAACTCACACCTTTTGTGTTCATTCAATTAACAACCACAAGTTTGACTAATTACGATTAACTTCTCCAACATTATATTCTACAATTTTCCAAACCACGTTTTCCTTACAGAGTAAAACGAACTCCTACACTACACCAACTCGATAGATTAACCAAATAGTTATTACACTTAAAAAAAGGGAGAAGGAATATAGATTTTTGTTTATTTATCAAATTAAGGAATGTATTTAGATTTTTGTTATTGGATAGTTGCTAACAAAATGATATCAATTAAACGATCAATGTGTCTATTACATTAAAAAGAAATAGAGGAACAATGTATCATATGTGGAACCTTTTTGATTTTCAAATATTTCTACGTGTGCAGTTGAGGTGATTATTGTATTTGATATATATACTAACAACGTCTTTTGAAATAATTATGTTGAAATTAAACTTTCTTATTACGAAAGACATGACAAATTTAAACAGAAGGTGGCGTTGACAGCATCAAGAATTAGTTAAATCAAACAACTAACTACTACGAAACTCCTTTTGAAAACTATGGATACCAAACTAAAAAGCTTTTTAGTATGCTCCGACTATGATAAACTTTTAAGTAATTTTTTATACTAATATCATAGTCATAACCAATCATATATATTCAGACTAAAGACTGATAATTAAATAATTAGTCCTCCAGCGTTCATATCCGTGTCTTCCGTTCCACTCTGACCTCCCCCAAGTTCATGCTACCCAATCATCCTTATAGACGCCGGTCGGTAGCTTACCATATTCTTATACATATACAGTCAAACTTCTCTATAACAATTTCGATATTTTTTTATTGCTATAATAAATTGATATTATATAGAATATATATTATAACATGACATAAAATATTGACCATTATAGTAAAGTATTATTATAGAGGATTATGACTTTCAAAATTCCTTGGACGAGAGGGGGGAGGGTGTACTCATCCCTCATCTAAGATGATGATTATTATTTCAAGTAAATTAAAAACATATAAACAAAAAGAATAGCACAAGGAAACGTCAATGCATACGAAATTCAGTAAATTGAATAAACATATGTGGATAGTAATTAGTACTAAACTTTTATAAATCATTGCACATATAGTAATTATTCAGGGCTAGCTTATTACCTGGTTGTTGTCAGCATATACCCTGGCTTAATATTTGAACGATAACATGCCTTTAATTTGACTTAAAAGTTAACAAAGGAAAACCAATGAACTAAATAGTTGTGAAGAAAATGGCTAGCAAAGTTACGGCTAAGGAATAGACAAAGGTCGTGTTGTACTTTCCTTCTAGAAATCCTACCAACACTTACATGTTTTGTAGTACTACATTTCTATTAATTCTAGCTTGTCTGGTACTCAGCACCAATTAAGGACCAAGTAATATCTTTTTTCATTTTTTTTTAAATTTTTATCTTGGAAGATGTGGAGGTCCAGAATTAGAGTAGAAGGTAAGTACGTAGTCTCTACATATCAGTAGTATTAGTATTATTCTCATATTTTCTTATTCCTGAATTTTATCACTATCTGTTGTTTCTTTCGTCTTTGGCTATCTCTCATCATCTTACCTTGTTGTTGTTACCGCTTGTGTTGTTGCCTTTTACATCTTTCTTTGAGCCGATGGTCTATCGAAAATAGTCTCTCTACCTTCACAAGGTATGAGTAAAGTCTGCATATACACTAACCTTCTCAGACACAGCAACTTGTTAGATTTTAGTGGGTTTGTTATTGTTGATGTTTATCTTGCTTATTATATGGAGTACTGTATTTATTTTATTTGTCATTTTTTCGTGGAAAGTAATTATCCATTGTTGGAATTTCAACACGTGAGTTTAGTTTTACTCTAACGTCATATAGCAGTAGAATAATGATTAGCTTGGTAATTCATAACTCTACACTAATTATAATTGTATGATTTGTATCAAAAGAATCTTTTACCGATTAAATAAGTAATATGGTTCCCATACAAAAGCTAAGAAGAAATTCAAGGTTCCGACTTTCATACCCATATTAAACCTTAGGGCTAGTACTAAACTACGTCTGTCTATTCTTAATTAGTTGATCTCGTGAATTACTTAAATTTAATTGCAATGTCAACAAAAACAGACCCAATTAATAATGTCTCATCTGGTGAACGACTGCTAACTAATTTTAGTTTATATTTCACCAGCACTAATAAAGTTGGCTAAATATATAGTATCATGTACCAACTTATACATGTGGAAGCCTAAGGTAGACGAGTCATTAGAGCTGCCTAGCTAGAGTCAGGTTTTTATTCGCTTATTTGTTTATATTATTGAACTTACCAAACTTTTCAGACTAAATAAAACGTTATCTGAAAGCCATATCTCACTAGTAATTTGATTTTGTCAAAAAAGAGAAATTAAAGCATGAGACGTTTCTAGAATCTAATATATTTAGAATTTGAAAGGTAAAACTCAACTAACTTAGCTTTGACATTCATAAACTTTAATAACTCACATTTGTCTTTGGTCTGATGAGAGATGAATGAATCCAGTCTTTTTCATATGCCTTTTTCTGAAGGAAACAACTTCTAGAAGGAAAAATAGTATAAATCTAGGTTAACAAAGTTTAGTCCATATAATATCTAAATGTCTTTTTCTTCAAAAGTAGGGAAGAGTACTTAATCAGCTCGCAAAAAA